GGGGGGGGGGGGGCAGGAGCTCCATCAAGGCCTTTAGGACAGAGAGTGAATACACATACTATACAGAGATGCTGTATGAGAAACCAATGTGAGTTTGGAATGTAAATCTATTCTAGTAGACCTCAACAATGGAATTATGATCAGTAGAAATGGCCATGTGATGGGACCTTTAACACAAACTGAAGAGATTTTAATTCTACGACATAAAATACGTCAGTCAATACTCCACTGGTGACTTTCACAAGTGTCTAAATGAGACGACTAAACGTCATCACGCACAACATTAGCCACCTTTAGCTTAGCGGTGGTGACGTGAAGTCATGTGACCGTGCTGTAGTTCCTTTATAGCCCAACATTAGCCTCCTTTAGCTTAGCGGTGGTGACGTGAAGTCATGTGACCGTGCTGTAGTTCCTTTATAGCCCAACATTAGCTTTTTACTTCAGAAATCATAAAGTGGTGTTAATATGTGGAGATCATCCTGCTGAACAAAATGTGGAAGTACCATAAACGTTTGTTTCACAGTGAGATTATTTTCTGCAATAATCTAAAATCACATGGAAAAATCCCATTGGCTTTTTGTCAAGGGAACCAGGGAGATTCTACAAAATGACATCATCCCTGCACCGCTGTATAGTGTGTAAATATGTTTTTACCTGTGTGTGTGTGTGAACATCAGGAAGATAGCCAATGCTAATGCTAGTGCTAATGGGGATGCTAATAAAAATGTTTCCTCCTCCACACAGCTGACCCTGGCTGGAGGAGTGAGGAGGAGGGAGGTGTTCCTCCACTCTCTGGAGCTCGGACACTCTGCAGGAATCAGAGCGGTGAAGGCCATGGGTAAGTCACACTCAGACAGACAAACCCAGACAACCACAAGAATGTAGACACACACACACACACACACACACACACTTGGTCTAATGTGTTTTTTTGTAGGTGCTGCCAGCAAAAGGTTTGGAATAGATAAAGAGCGGGAGGCTGTTCCTTTAGATCTGCGAGTTGGCTACAACAAGGTATTTTCCTGATTTGACGGACACATATTTCCTGTCTACACAAACAATAACGCACTGTAAGGTATTTCTACATCTGCACCCGTTTACAGGTGGCTGTCAGTGGGAGGAGTCAGTGGACCCAGACGGAGATGGTTTGCACGTCAATAAATCTTTACAAAGCCTGCATGAAACCTGAGCAGCTAGGTGTGTATAACTGAGACATTCCTGTGTTTTTATACAATATATATATTATTTGTTATTGTTTTCCAAGCAAATCAAATCTCTTCTGTCCAGATACAAGAATAGAAAGTCTGCAGCTGACAATGACAGAAGTCGTGAAGAGCTCCAAGTCGAAAAAGGGCTACAACCAGGTAAAGGGTTCAAATATAATCTCATAGAGTGATAAAGGAATGAGTCAGAATTTGAAGAATTCCTTTCCCTTGTCTAGAAGTCAATGGTTTTCGGATTGTGAGTTTGGTTGTTAGCCTGAAATAAGGTCTGAGGCTAAAGAGATTTTAACTTGTTGTTCTTTAACATAAAATACGTCAGTAAATACCCCACTGGTGAATTTAAAGTGTTTAAATGAGACGACTAAACTTCATCACGCCCAACATTAGCTGCCTTTAGTGGTGACGTGAAGTCATGTGACCGTGCTGTAGTTCCTTTATAGCCCAACATTAGCCACCTTTAGCTTAGCGGTGGTGACGTGAAGTCATGTGACCGTGCTGTAGTTCCTTTATAGCCCAACATTAGCCACCTTTAGCTTAGCGGTGGTGACGTGAAGTCATGTGACCGTGCTGTAGTTCCTTTATAGCCCAACATTAGCCACCTTTAGCTTAGCGGTGGTGACGTGAAGTCATGTGACCGTGCTGTAGTTCCTTTATAGCCTAACATTAGCCACCTTTAGCTTAGCGGTGGTGTCGTGAAGTCATGTGACCGTGCTGTAGTTCCTTTATAGCCTAACATTAGCCACCTTTAGCTTAGCGGTGGTGACGTGAAGTCATGTGACCGTGCTGTAGTTCCTTTATAGCCTAACGTTAGCTTTTAACTTCTGGAGATAGCATTTATGCTTCCAAAACCATAACACTTGGTGAAGAAAATCATTGATTATGAGACGAGGGAACA